TATATATATATAATCTAACACTCTCCCCACCTCCACATGGCATTTAAATCCAGGGCCTTTGCACTGAGCTATATCCCCACCCCTATTTTTTTATATTTTGAGACAGGGCCTTGCTAAGTTGCCAGTAATAGCCTCAAACTTCCAATCCTCCTGCCTGGGGCTCCCAAAATGTTAACTTTTTAGCTGGGGAATGAGGTTGCTGATAATATGTTTTTATTTACATACTTTCAAACTTTTATGGTAGTACTTGTAACTTTTTACATAAATGGTGAAAATATAAAAGGAACTTAATTTTCATTTTACTTGACGAGTGACATATGAGTACTTTCTTTGTATGTGGTAACTGAGCCACACAGAAGTCTTTAGAGGAGGATGTGGACGCTTCGCACCCATGCACACTCATCCAGCAAGGAAACAGCCTGGATACTTTTGTGCATTTCATTTAAATTCTTTTGCTACACACACACACACACACACACACACGTATATATATAATCATAAGACGCATATATTTTAATGAACATAAAATAAGGCAATCCTGTCAAGTAGGCTTGCCATTTTATCCTTGAGAAGTTACATCTTAGAGACCTTTCTGCAAGGACGTACGTGGACGCCTTTCACATTAGTTGCAAGGTTCTTCCCTGTTACAGATCAATGAGTCCTGTCCTTCCTTCTGTTACAAACAATCCTGTGCCAGATTTCCTTGCCCATAGATCGGGGCCAAGAGTACCAGCCTGTATGTGGGAGCGATGCCCTCAAGTGGGACTGCTGGACCCCAGGATATATACATTTCAAATCTGATTGCTAAATTCAAGTCATTCCCCACACTGATGTTACATTTCCACTAGTTTATATCTGCACAGTGAGTGTATAAGAATGCCCCTTTCCTAAAGGGAGCTGTATATAATACTTGCTGAGAATCATTAGATCTGTGAGTGTAAAAATACTTCAAAAATCCTCAAAGTAGAACAGACATAAAATCCTTGATTTCCCCCTCCTCCTCTGGATTCTATGCAGCGGTGAACTTAGAAACTCATTCCAACCTTCAGAGATGTGTCCCTGGGGATGTACGTCTTGTACCTGCCCTCGGGAACAATAAGCAGCCTGCTTCCCACTGGTTACAGGACCAGCAGAAGCAACATACCATGGACAGTGGCCAGGGTGCCTACCAAAGGTTGGCTTTCATTACAGAACTAGTCCTCAACTCTTACACGCTGACCATACACCTTCACTGGATTCTTGAATGCACGGCAACATCCCTACCCGAGCACAGCGGATAGTCTCCGAGAGGAAAGAGAATACAAATGAGAAGTTCTAGCAAAATGTGGTGGGCGGGCAGCGCCCATCAGAGAAAACTCACTGGCTCGTGGTGTCCCATTCAGGCCTGGGGAAGGGAGAGGTTGGGACAGGGTGGGGAGGTGGGGTCCTGTGCACTGGGGAGCTGTGAGGCATCTTGAGGGGCAGGGAGAGTTTGTCACTGGGGGTTCGGGGCAAGGTCCAGGCAGGGAGGCCCCTGACAGGTAGGCAGTCAAGCCCACAGCACTGGGCAGTGGAGGCCAAGGGAAGGATGTCAAGGCAGTCTCAGGTTGCCACCTGGACTCCTAAGGGGGCGCAGAGAGGGCCCTGTTCTTCAGAACACTCTGCCCTCCTGCCTCTGGGAAGGACATCTGCCAGAGCATTCTGGGGACACCGTGCTTGGTTCCTTCTGCAGCACTGTAAGTCCTCCTCACAAAGCTGTGGGCAGGTGGCGCCCTGCCCTGCACACCCACGCCCTTCAGTAAAGGAAAGAATTGTGATCCTGAAGGTGACAGAAATACACCACACTGCATTCCAGCTGCACCTTCAAAGCACATTTTGAATCTTCTAAAATTTATTTTATTTTTCTTATTGAGAGATCATAATTATCCACATTGCATGGGGTACAAAGATGTTTTGGTGCAGGTTGGGGTCATCAGCACATATGGGGGACATCTAAATTTTTCAAATTTATTATAATAAAAGACACATTGCTATTAATCAATACTTGCTCTTGCTTCAAATAGGCACATCACCCCATTCATGCCACTTTCAGAAGCAGTTCTGAAAACCCCCTTCTGTGAGTGTCGTTACAAAGGGTGATCAACACTACAGTGAATGCTGTTACCCAGAGCCATCCAAAAGAAAGGCGGGCTTGGGAAAACATGACACTGTGTCCTCGCCCACCTAATCCCCCATTTCTGCCATGGTGTGACCTCAGACTGTCCCAAAGACAAAGTGACTGTGAAAGGTAAACATTTGGAACAAATTCAAGACATCATAGCAGCCGTGACAGCACCACTAAAGACACTCAGAGAAGAGGACATCAGAGCTGCTTCTGAAAGTAGGAGGACAATGGGAGGGGGATGTGTTATCAGTGGGGGCAGGGCTCGGGGGGAATTAATGGCAACGGGTCTTTTACTGTCACACATTTTTAAAAATTTAAATATGCACCTCATGTTCACTGCATATGCATAAAATGTGGCACGATTTAATC